CAAGTCCCCAGTGCTAATATCACCGAGCAACTTCCAAAGCGTAAAGCTATCTATAAATGCAATTACCAAGAACTAGGATGACAAGAGTTTATTGAATATAGAAACGTCTCAAGAAGAAAAATCCTGGAAAAATATCAAGATTATGGGAGTGTGTACACATTCCTAAGACCATAGTCAGACTTCTCAAGTTGAGATCTTAGAGAACAACCAATTACTAAACCCTCGTCCATGAGATGCGAATATGAGCTAATTCTTGAAAAAGGAATTGAACCCTTTACAAACATCAGTTTGAAAATCTTTCCTAAATTAGCCATGTCAGGCCTTCTTGGTAGCTGTCACTCTTCACTCCTACCATTTGCAGATTCAAATGAAAACTCTATTCACAAACAGATTTTAATTGGATTAGATTCAAACAATAGAGTTTTGAAAAGGCAATCACAGTTTAAATGCTCTTAAAAGAACTAGTTGCTTGGGAGATTTTAAAAGATATATAAGTTTGCGTGCGTGTTCGATTGAATGTTTGCGTGTGTGTGTGTGTGTGTGAGTGTGTTTTTCCCCTCAAGCATAAAGAAATTACATGGCTGCTCACCTGAGCACCCCGATTTTTATCAAGAAGTCCTTTCTTTCCTCATTGACAATGAACATAAATAGCTCAGTTTTCCCTCCATATCTCATCTTGCTCTTGTAGTCCTGGGGATGACCACAGAGATTTCACAAAATTTCCTGATCTGAGGAATGCCTTGAGTTGGGATATACTGCGCTAGTCGATTCAGTGATGTGTCACAGATAAATGAAGTGACTAGCCCCAAGTTACACAAAAAATGGCGATGTAAACTTTAAATTGTTTTTTTTAAAAAAGAACTTTAGACTATCTAGACATAAGATACTTATAATTTTAGAGATGACTGAACATTTACCTTAAGAAGTATGTTCCTGACTAACAAATTCTGGTAATTATAATTCAAGACTTTTTTCACCAGTATTTCAAATCTTCAAAACGGACAAAAATTTTAATGGAAAATATTTATATTATCTCTCCCTCTCTGAATATGAACACATCCACATGATTACATACTTACAAACATACACACAAATATACTTTACGTGAATATACAAATTATGGTTTCAATTATAACATTTTTACATGGCACAGTAGTAGTCAGCCACCAAAATAAGCTTCATTTTCTGTAACTTCATATTGGTAAGTGTATATTAAACTCAAGGGTACAGGGCCTGCTGCACTTAGAACCCTCTTTGAACATATTATGCTTTCTAGCTCCTGGAAATTCATTCCAAGAACGAATACATATGAACTTCAGATGTCAATTTCTAAAGTGTAGAAAGAACTTAATAATCTCCCTTAAATCAATAGTTTGGATCTGACCTAATATATTCAGTAAATATAAATGTAAACTGTTAGAGATGGTTTATACCATTTCACTGCACAGCAGTGAAAGAAATCATATAAGCTTAAACTGACCACCAACATATGTATATTTTATTTGATTTTGAAAAGTATAACCAAAATATCCAATATTTGGAAAATATATACCTATAATGTCACCTATACTCCCATTTTCCTAATGGCAGCACTGTTAGCATTATGGGATCATTAAACTTTATATTTCAATTACTTAACTTTTAAAACACTTTAGATGGAGAATCTCTTTAGAGACCACTTTTATTCATTTCAAAGTTTTACCAACTTCATTTTCTTTTAATTCAAAAGACAAACTAGAAATGTTCTCTCTTGTCCTATATTCATGATGACTAATTTTATAAAGGTCTTTGCTGTTTTCAGTTGATAAAATATATCCTAGATGAATCAGGTATTCACAATTTTGTTCTGAATAATCTTTAAGTAAAATTTTGGTATATAGAATGAAATAACTTCATAATTCCCCTAAAATTTTTAATGAGGGAAAGCTATGGAAAATTTCACAAGCTATTTTCAAAAGGAAGTCTTTGTAATTTTCTCTTTTAATGACATCTTACTAAGTTTTAGGCAAAGCTGTATCCATTTGGCTTTAAGTTCTCTTTTCTGAGCACATATTGAGGACAGACAAATTAAATGATTCAGTTCAACCAAGCACACTGATCCAGTCAAAGTATGATGATTGAGATGTATGTATCTATTAGAGTTGTGCCATATATCATATTAATTATTCATAACTATCTACTCTATTCCTCTTTTATAGATATAAGAGATTTTTACTGCCTAAGTTATTATAATATTCTCCTTCAATTTATTAGCATAGAATGTGCACGTGGACTTTTCAAAATTAAAACTCATAAAGAATAAAGCCAAAGTTATTTACTTTGAAAACTGCATGCTATATTTCTGTGGTGGCTCACAGATATCATACCAATAGAAATCTGAATATTTTTACTTTCTTCTTAAAAGAAATAGACAAAATGAATACTTTATCTATATTTAGATCATAATGACTTTATATAACATTAGTTGGATAAGCGGAATTTTCAATTTAATGCAATTTATTTTCAAGGCACTATCTTAGAAAATTAGCATTTGGTGCTAAGTTTTCTAGTTAAATATTTATGGCTTTATTGGGTACAGTTTGGCATTTTGAAGTTAAAAAACACTCTCTCACAAAATTGTATCATAAATATACGAATGGTTCTCTAGTTTTCTAAGCTACTGATATGTGATGTTTTTGAAACCAACATGACTAAAACACAGCATACCTCTACTTTCCTAAAAATCATAAACTTGGGCATATCATTCCTCTCGCTTGGCTTCATTTTGTAGAGACGTTTTCTCTAAGAGGGTATTTCTCAACAGGAGAAATTACACTCTGGGGTGACAAAGCAGTAAGGGAAAATCATGGTTTTCACAATAATTTCTGAGAATTTGCTTTTCCTCATTCCTTATATCCACCTAGAACTGTAATTCACCAAACATCCTGTCAAAAAGGAGGAGTGGCGGCTGAGATTTGCGTGTGTTTCTCTGTGTTTCAAAACACGCCAACATTCATTTAAACAGAGCTTAATTGGATCCCTCACACTCTGGCGGAGTTAAAGGTCTTAAATGTCTGGCCTAGTATATTCCACTTTTTAGGGCACGGAGAGTTTGATCTACTTCTGTACGGTTGCCATTTTGGCTCAACGACTTCACTATAATAATTCATTAAATTCTTCATTGTTTAGGCTTTACCATTACATTCATCTCCAACAATGCCACTGCAATTTCATGACCATAAACTCCACTCTACATAACATAGTATCAAAACGTGTTTTGAAACACTCATACTTTTACAGAATAAAACATGTTTGTATTTTGTTCCTATCATGGTAATGCCTAGGGTCTTTGAAGGAATAATCTCTGGAATTTAACATCTCTGGAAAAGTTTTAGAACCAATGTTCTCAAGTCTTAGTTCTTTAAGAATTTTTTTCCTTTGTGGTGATTCTTATAAGTGAAAACCATCATTGTATTACAAAAGTCAAAAGAAAATGAATGAAATTGACCTGGATTTGCCTTTCTTCTTATATTACTAGCCTTTAAAAGGATCACAAAATATAAGGAGAATCTAGAATAAAACAGGATAAATTTGTTTTACTAATATTGATGTATATTGTACAAATGTTGGCCTGCAATAAAAACATCAAGCCTTGTTAGACTTTTATGTAAAATCTTTTATTCTCTTTAATTATTAAGGGCAATTGCTTACACAGGTTTCTTTTAGAGATTTATTATCTGGGATTATTTCTCGTTTTCAATCATACACAAAAAAGAGAAAATGAACTCTGAAGGACAGTTCAATATTCCAGATTACACTGAGTTGGAGATTATTTCAAACTCAGTGCTTTGTCTGAAACCATTTTCGTTAGCATCTATATTTAGAACTATGGAAAGATTTGGGTATATTTCATCAAAGAGCAAATTATATTTTCCAGCTGTTATAACTAGTATCAAAAAAGGCAACATCTTTTAAATACTCATTAAAACTCTCTTTTGAAAAAAGTAATCATCTAAAATCAGGTAAGAAGACAACATAATGCCAGAACTCAAACTCTCTTCACTAGTTTATTCCAGCAACGAGGTCTTGGCAGTCACAATCTGTGCACTTTTTGATCAACTTTACCAAAAAAAGAAAAATTTGCATCCAGTATTACTTATTGACAAATTGGAAATCTCTATTTTTCTACTCATAAACATGTTCCCATAAGTGATCTTTAAAATAAAATAATCAGAAACTGGGTCCAAACTGAACTCTCATGAAAATGAAAACAGCATACATGAAATGCCCTCCTTTGAGGCTAATGTTACAGAAAGAGAGTCTACCCAAAATTCAAATCTCTCTCTTTTTATTTATAAATATTTGCATCACTAAGTTTAACAAGAATACACATTATTTCTTTTGGGGATGACAGCAACACTGACAAACAGTCCCTGTTATGCCTGTCATTATGTTATTGCTAAATCATCCACAACATCATGACCTGATTGTAGTTACCAGGGACAAAGCCAAAACATAGAATTTAAGTTTCATTCTGATTACATACAAATAGCCAGCACTTAAGAAAACCTTGAAAAGTGATCTACGTCCAGTTTAAAAAAAAAAAAAAAAAAAAAGGAAGGAGAGAAGGAAAAAATGAAAGTAAAGAAAGACACCTTTAAAAGCCTAATACAATGACACAGTAGGGCCTCTGACATTCTCTGTGCTGGTATAATAACTAAATGGCAAGTAACACGAAGACAGGTTTCCCCGCGAGGTCCCTGTTGCATGCTTCGATTAAAACTAAAAATTTACAACAAAATCAACCCTTGGGTAAATTGCTCTTTGGTTTAAATCTTCGTTACCTCCTGGAATTTTGGTAAAATCACTTTGCTTTTAAATTAAGCTGGCCCCTCCTTCTTTACTCCATTACAAAAGTCAAACAAGAAGAACCAGACATAAATTTCAGAATGAAAAGTTTCGTTTGTGTGTATGTGTGTTTTGTAAGTCCAACCCCTGCATACAAACTGTTAAAAAACAGATGTTTTAACATAGTGCTTTATTCCAACTTAATCTCATCCTTGAATGAACTTCCTTCAAGTTTCAACCATTAAAAAAAAAAAGCAGTCAATTTCCTGGTGGTTGTAATTTAATTAAGTAACCTTTCACACTGAGCAAAACCCAAAAGCAAAAGGGTCATTAATCTTTCTAGTGATTAGAGACACCTCTAGAGCTTCAAACATTTACCTCTCCTTCCCCGCAGTAGAAATGCTTTTAGGAGGATCATGGTTCATACCTCGCATTCCCTGGAGCCAGAGATGGTATATGTGCAGGGCCCAGATCCATTAACGGATATATCCATGGTCTCAGAGTTTGTAGGCTTATAGTCCACATAATACTCCTGTAAAGGGGAATTCATTTGTCTTTCAGACTCTCTGGCCTTTTTCCGCCGCCTCTTCATAAGAGAGTGTTGCTGAAGTTGTTTCATGCTGGCTGGGTAGCGTTTCCAAGACACATAGATGACCAAGAGGATCATGGCCACCGAGAGGAAGAGAGCCACGCTTCCTGCAATAATTTTGTGAAACGAAACATGCTCATATTCTTGCTCTGTGCCAGGAATCTGAAACCCTGGGGAAGGGCTTGGTGCTTCAAGGGTGGGCTGGGTGAGGTCAGGTTTGGAGATGGTAGGTTTGGGGATGATCAGAGGCTTCTGGGGCGTTTGGGGAACCAGGTGTGATCTTTCTGTGTTGACCACCTGGACTTCAGAGCAGATATTGTATGTTTCCACTGCATCACTAACCTTTTCGCCCTGGAGATGCTTAGGTCCTGCACATATCATGGTACTCTCCTTATTTCCTTTGAAATTCTTGAGCCAATAAAATAGAGGACAAATGCTCCGACTGCATTCCCACATGTTTCCGGACAAGGTGATGGATATTAATGATATCCACGCATTGACAGTTTCCTGTGAGATGTTGGTAAGCTTGTTGGAATCCAAATTCAATTTCTGCAAATTCGGCAGACATTTAAATGTGCCCGGCTCAATTCCTTGGATGTCATTACCTGATAAATCCAAGTTGTGTAAGGAACTCCAAGTCCATGTCAAGCCTTGGCTAATGGAGCGAATCCTGTTCCACTGTAAGTAAATCGAGCGGAGGTTGAAGAGACGTGGAAAATGAGCAAAGTTGATCTTGGAAAACTGATTGTGCTCCAAGTGGAGCTCCTTTAACTTCAAGAGGCCAGCGAAAGCATTTCGGGACAAGCTTCGAAGACGATTGTAACCCAAATCCAGAAAGTCAAGATTTCGACAGTCTTGAAAAACTCTTATGGGCACAGTCTTCAGTGAGTTAGATCTCAAGTGCAAAATGATGAGTTTCCGGAGGCCTTTAAATTGTTCGGATTGCAAGGTCTGAAGCTTATTGTAGGAGAGGTCCAGATTACGGAGATTGGGAACTGGGTGAAATGTTTTATTGTGCAGATAGGTAATTTTGTTGGAGCTTAGAATTAATTCTTTCAGTCTACGGATCCCTTGAAATGCATCTTCATCCACTGAGCTAATGTAATTATGGTCAAGATAAAGCCATATAAGCTGGTTAAGGCCGGCAAACTGATTGGATTTGAGTTTCTGAATGCTGTTGAACCTCAGTGATAAGCCTTGTGACCCTCCAGAAATGTTTTCAGGGATATCTGCGAAAGCATGAGACTCACAGTACACAATTTTGCCGTCACATCTGCAGTTCTTTGGGCAAGCTCTCTGAGCCCCCGTGAGCATAACAAGCAGCAGTGTAGGAAGAAGCACTAGCACCACACGCATGCCTCTCAGCTGCGTAATTAAATGGAAACCTACAATATTAAAAAGAAGACAAATGCACATTGTAAAGCTACTAATATAAATCACCACCAGCTTACCAATATCAGGGGCATTTCATCTAGGTAGCAATGGGGCAGCTGATTTAAGCACAATGTATCTAACATCTAAAGCCTTGTTTTCTTCAGTGTTGCACATTTGCTATTTAGGTTTCATTCTTTCCTTGATTGTCAAATCACCAGTGTGCCAGAGAACTAAGAAAAGCCCTCCTGAGTTTCAAGAGTTCCTATGTAGATCAACACTGAAAAGCACAGAGACTATCTTATCACTTAATGCCCATATTTTAATAATGGTAATATCTGGCTAGTCACTCTGTTGAACGCCAGTACCAAAAGGAAGAGTTCTAATTCTCTTGGTAATGGCAAAAATGTGACTTACTAAGCCCCACACTTGTATGTCCTTCTGAGTTTAGCAAACAGGCTGTGATTTGGCAAAGGAGCTTCAGTAAGCTGTCAAGGTAACCCAAGTTTGCCCTGCCTGAAATTGAATCCTTATTGCATAATGAAATCACAATATATGAGCTCTGAAAAAATGGCATTGGGACTAGTATAGACAGCTGATGAAGCATGGTATGAAGACTAATAACAGGGTGAGGTACTCTCCATGTGTTCATAAGCATACATGCTCTCAACAGTCAGGAAGAGCTACCTACTGTGGCTGTCCTGCCCAGTCATACATCTGCTCAGAGCCCTAACTAGTGGTAACACAGGACACTCCAAAGTTAAGACCATCAAAATCGAATTAAACATTTGCATGCAGGGCGAAATAATCTTGGGTAGTGTCAGTTTTGCTGTTATTTTTCACACAGCTGCTTTTGTACATTTCAGGGATAAACAAGGAGAGAAGCAGACTGGTTATCCCCCTCCCCTCCACGCCAACTTGCTCAAATTTCTCACTCACTTTTTTCTCTCCCCTACCGCCATTAACTTCAGAAAACCAGCAAAGTTGCAATCTATTGGCACTCACGCTGCATTTCCAAGTCACAGCATGTTAAGGGACTTCTTTCCTCTGTCAACAGCAGATTTATTATATCTTAGCGGTGGGGAAAAAAATATCCTATCGTGTGCTGCAGTTTCTTCATTTCTCTTAAAAATTCATATTTTTAACCAGGAGGCAATCAGCCAAACCCCTAATCAAAAAACTCTCCTTCTTTGACTCAACCAGTTAAGTATTTTTTTTTTTTATTTGAAACCCGATCTTGCTCTCTGTCCTCTTGCCAGCTACAGACTCATTGAAATACATTCCAGCTCTCCCAGACAGGAGAAAGGGGGGGAAAAAGCCAGTCACACTTGAAAAAATAAGACTGGCAAATGACTGCTGGAAATTTGGAAGCTGTGTTCAGGATACAGCTTCAAAGATAAAACAAGCCCTTGGGCGACCTCTGATAAAGTAACGACCCCACCCCTCCACACACGCAGTAAAGTGGGAACAATCTTCCTGACGGCAACCAGAAATACAAGCTTGTTAATATTATCAAGAAATAGAAGCAAACACAACATTTATCTCATGCTCAATTCCCAAGCTGTGGATACGCATACGGTAGAGACAGTCTTAAAGATATTCCTCTAGAGTCTGTTTAAGTCCGTGTTATGCATTCATGGATTAAAAAAAAAAACTACAAAGAGGAAAATGATCTAAAAATATAATAGCAACTACAGTGAGTCAACTGGCAAACTCAGAGGCTGCTGCTTTTTGCCTGTTTCTCCGTCTTTTATCAGCTAATGCCATGACTGAGGATAGGAAGCCAAGAGGATCAGCTTTGCTAAGAAGGAAACAACAAAAGTTCACTTACCCATCCTTTGTCATCCAAAAACGTTGCCCCCCTCTCTCAGCTTTCTTCTTATTTGGTCTCTCGGGCTGAAACCACCGCCACCTTCATGACACAGTGCGGTTGTCATTCACACCATTCTGATCCCGCATGTGAGCGAGAAGCCCCATACAAACTTCCCCGAAGAGGACAGGCGAAAAAATATATATACATATAGGAAAAAAAAAAATCCCAGCATGGGGTAGGATGGGGGGGGGGCAGGGAGAAGGAAGCCTTGGGGGGGAGGGGGTGGGCCTCTAGGCTCTGAGGACCATTGTGTAATTCACCAGAGACCCATCAGCAGTAATTGGCAATCTGTGCAAAAGAGCTACAGCCCATCTCGAAGGTAACCAACTTCTCTGTAAAAAAAAAGAGGAAAAAAAAAGAAAATCTTCAGAATACCTGGCATTCCTTATTGTGCTGGCTTTTGCCATTCCCAGATAAAGCAATTCATCCTCTGGATTTTCAGTTCTTGAAGCAAGTAGGCCTCCTGTGCTGTATGAGACCCCAGTTTAAAAGCTGTGCAGGCTAGGTTTATCCATTTAGCTGGTCAGGTTTAAAGTGTTTTGTAGCTGTGCTGAGAGGCAGCTCTTGTCTAATTCAGAAGGCTTTCCAGAGACTGATGATGCTCAGAGCTTGTTGGTGCTAATGCTTGAGTTTGTGATACACTGAGTGCCCTCCGCTGGAGAAAACAGATTGCACATTAAAGACGGGAACAAGTGAGGCTGTCAGTGGTGTGCAGCCTTCTCTCTCTCAGAAAGGGGAATTAAAGGCACAGGATCACTTTTTTCTCTCCAATAACACAAATTATAAAAGGTTTATGCCAAGGTGTTCCATTCGGTGATATTAAATATTAAGTAAAATACTGCTTCTCTAAATATTATGCAGGTAGTAGTTTTTAAAAGTTGCCTTGACGTGAAATGTTTTTTTCCGCTGCACATATCACAAGAGATTTCTTATGTTTTCTCAACAATAGAAATAACTTGAGGTTTGTTTTTGTTGCTGTTGGTTTGTTTTACTTATTTACATTTTTAAAGAAAATCACATAGAGAAACAAACTTACCCAAGGGAAAAATGTAATTTGATCGTTTTTAAAGATAGTTACATCTAACATTTTTAGGTCTAATTTTTAAATTTCCAACCCCGATAATAAAACATATTCTGCCATTATGCACATTTTATCAAACAGTCTAGATCATTATTTTCTAAAGGTGCACATTTTTAGTCTTAAAGCGGTTTCTATAATACTATATTACTAAATGTGAAGGTAACTAAGAGAAACTAAATGTTAGATAAGGATAGAATTCCACTTTGACATCCTTAGTGCTGTCACTTCTTAAACTTGTCTACATTTGTAATGCAGTTTTTTTCTTATGCAAGTCACTTTCATAATCTGTAATTTCAAGAAAACAAAAACATGTGAGCTCTACATCATCTCTGTATTTCTAAAATTTGCAGAATATCCTTAGAATTAGGAAGGATGAAATGATGAAATACCTGAGACATGTATTTTTAAAAGCCCACACACACTTTCCTTGAACTTGTACTGAACTTTGAAAAAAATAATAGAATGCATCACCTCCATTTTGTTTCTCTACTTGTTTATTTCATAATCCTCTGGCAGATAATAAATTCTGGAACAATCCAGAAGAACAATACAATGTAGTACAGAGAAAGACTGTTAGGTAAGTTGCTAACCTAATTAAGCAGGTGTGAGAAGTTCAAATAAATTTTACACAAGCATTTAGAGTTGCTGTGGACCACTGGAAATATTTTTAGAAATATTTTTTGGTTTTGTATTATCTGCCAGAATATTAATAAGCATGGAGGGCTTATCACATGAATAACATATATCATTTGACTCAGATTTATGAATAGGCAGTCACAGGCAATCGTGTAATTACTAAGATTTCTCAAGGAACAGAAAGGGGTAATTTGTCCCCCAAATATATCCCTTTCCCATTAACTGATACCTGAATTTCTATTTTAGAAATGTGTGTCTTTGGCTTAAGGCTTAATACCTATTAAAATGCAAATGAACACCAAAAGAGGCAATTTTATTTGGTTAATGAAAGAGGTATACCTTTCTAAGGAAATAAACATAAACGATACACATATAATTCGTTCATAGTAGTGTAGTTTACATAAAAACAAAAACCCCACCTAAATACTCAATGACAGAGAATTAGTTAAGGAAAATTAATATATTCATGAAATAGAACACATGCTGCCATTAAAATTAAAGTGGTTTGTACTTGCTTATAGCGAATGTGTAATGTACAAAGGAAGGAGGGTGGGGCAGAGAACGCAAGTACTAGAAGAGGATGACAGGGAATCTATTTCTGTACATTTTTTTATTTGCATGAGGCCAGAATAAAATATACAGACCTGATTTTCCTGGGAGATGGATTTTGGATGTATTTTATTTCATCTTTTATGATTTTTTATCTATTTGTATTTGCTAATTTTTTAAATATGATGAATGTGAGGTACATGTGAGATATATATAAATTTTCCTTGGTTTGAATACAAGATATGAGAACAGCTTTTGATAGTGGATTGGAAAAATCTCATGATGCTACCCACACTTATGCTGCAATAACCAGCTCAAATGCAAGTTTCGTTTGAAGTACTAAGATTTAGTAGACACTGTATTCCAAAGTAGATACTAGATCATAGGCACAATTTACAAAAGATGTTGTAAAATATCAATTACGGGTCTCCTGAACACACTGCGAGGACATAAACGGATCAAGAGAGTTGGGTGTGACAAAGAATGTTGTGGGGAAGATTTCTTTGGAATGAGGTATCCTGGTATCACTTACACATGTGTGCACATGCACAAACACACACACACCTTTCACCCAAGGGAAGGAGGGGTATGTCAGCTCCTCAGTTTAATTCTACGGCAAGGGATTTCTACAGGCTCCTTGACGAGCTTGATGTGTGTTTCCAGTTGTGAGCCCAGCACTATGGAATGGTATCTGATTCCTGTCTGAGAAATCCAGAGGGTAAGAGATGTGTTTGTCAAAGCAAAGAAGAGTTAAAGTAGTGTTGGGATTGGCTTTCACTTTCAGTGTTGGTCTGGATAAAAGTACATGCAAGAGTTTTCCATGGAAGAGAGGAGGGCTATGAGAAGAGAGAGAGAGAGTCAGCTTGAAGCCATTTTAAATCCTGGTGATACCCCCAATAGTAAGAGTCTGTGTAAGTGCACTACTGAAACAAATCGACAAAAAAAAAAACAAACAGAAGCCAATCAAGTTTGGACATGCATCATAGAGATGAAGAAAAAATGTGTGATCTTTGTCATGGGAAATTTTGTGCATTATTCCTAATGTGGCTATTAAAGATTTATCAATGCGCCCACAAGAAAGAGAAATATCTTTTGACATCTGCTAGGCCCAGAAATCAAAAAACCCTTTTACAATTGTACCAGTCAAAACAAGTTTCCCGGAAGGGTCAGAAACAGTAGCGAGTAAGTGTAGGAAGAGGTGAGTTAGTGTAGGAAGAGGTAAGCAAGAATGAGGGAAGCTGACTACACTTCCTTTATTTTCCTAGGTAATGGATGGCCCACTTCCATCTGGTCCTACACTGGAACAGGGGGAGAATGCTCACGCTTCATGAGATATGAGGTGTTGATTAATATGGTGGACTTACTACTTTCATTTACTAAATTGAGACTTCATGAACTAAGTATATATAACAGGATTTTTTGTTATCTCAAAGAACATTCAGTGACCTCACTTGATAATTTGACACTGACCATGGTAGGAGTATTTACACCAAGGAAATCAGCAAAAGCCAAAATTTAAAGCATGATTTATTGTTTTGTTGAGTGTCTAGACTTAAGAAAGTGATGAAGAAAATATTAGTAATACAGATTAGACTTAAAAGTTCTCTGTCTGTAGCCATTTAATTATAAATAACACAAAAGTTGAGAAATATTCTTCCAGTCTTTGATATCTATTATCTGATTGAGCAAAGAAGTAACTCACATCGTTGACAAACAAGTGAAATTCCAACATATGTCTTTGTTGTTTCACTTTTGTCTTACCCATTAATAGAAACAAAAATATCAGGTAGTATTCATGTTGGAACAATAGTTGGAGAGCCACTTGTCAAACATTTACCAGCATACCATCATGCCTAGTGGTCTACATATTTATTGCTCAAAAAGTGAACTAGTTTGAACACTTAAATGTTAGTGATGACCTGGTTCAATCAAGTACTCAATCAATTTCTATTATCACAATGTTACTTTCAATACCTTCAATAACTTCTTTCTTTCCTAAAATAGTATGTTCTCCTTAATGAAAATTAAAAGGCTGTGTCAGTTAAGAAATTAAAAATTACAAGTGAAAGAAATCTCAACCCAAATTGAATGAAAATAAAGTGGAAAATTATTTTACATCACGCCAAAGAGAATTCTATAGCTAGACACAGCTTGATCCAGAAATTAGAGGTATCACTGGATCCTTTGGTCCACTTCTCAGGCCTAACTTCCAATGTGTTATTTCCATTCTGATTCTGGTTTCAAGATAGCTCCAGTAATTCTAGTACCATGTGCATTAAGATTCAAGAACCACTAGTAAATGTCGCATTGCATGCAGTGACTCCGGTGCAGTCTTTTTTTTCCCACTCTTGAATAACTTTCTGTGCCCAGAGGCTTGAGACTCCCTGGGTGGTTTACATAAAGGTCATCTTTTCTACCCCTGAAGTGGTGTTGGGAATAGCTTATTAGAAAACATGTATTGAAAGTGGGAGGAAAAATAACGTGCGCATCTCTTCTGAAGTATAAAGTCACCACTAAAAAATGGCGGCCCCGCCAAGGCACACCTTGCATTCAGGCGGGGACCGTGTAACCAATCCTCACCATGGACTCTAAGCAGAATTGATATGGATCACTTCCAGGTCCAGGGAGTCAAGATAAAAGGTCTCTCTCTCCTTCTTCTGACCAGAACCCAGGACTCTAAAGCTCTGTTAAACTACTAGATTACAGGGGATTATTTATGTTAGCAGTGTAAATAGAATAAGGAGTTATGATAGATATTGGGAACAGAAAGCATACACCATGCAAATAAATAAACCAACCAAACATGTAAGCAAACAAAAATAATAAGTAAAAAGCAAAAACAAAACATAACATTCCACTAACCTTCTGATCTTCCTCTACTCTGGCATCAGCATGTCATGGTACTATGCTCACTTTATTCTCAATATGTAAACCTCTTCCCATTCTCATTCACCAATTCCTAAACTTCCTAACTTCACTCTTAAATGGTAAAAAGGCAAAATTAACATGTTGTGCCTGCTTTCTCCTCCACACACGCATACACACTGAAACCACACAATATATGCATGCACGTTTAAAAATAATGTACTCATCAAGACACATTTTAATGATGTGCATAATTCAATTTCAACATGAAGAGAAACCTCGAATCATGTTTTTCAAAATAAAGGACCTTTTCTCCCTTTTCAATTTACTTATCATGGTTTAACAGTACCTCATTTCTCATAGTAGTGATAATTAGTTACTTAACTTGTTACAAACTTAAAGAAAAATAACATTTTATATATGCGTTCAGCTGAATTTAGGAATCTTGATCTCCACGCTGAAAACCTTTGGGCCCAATATGTATATTAATTAAGATAATGTTCATATTATTAATATAGTCACAGCAAAAGTTGTATTGAAATACAGACATACAAAAATGGACTCTTTCTGGGTCCGGCCCGGTGGCGCAGCGGTTAAGTTCGCACGTTCCCTTCTGGTGGCCCGGGCTTCGCCGGCCCTGATCCCGGGTGCGGACATGGCACTCCTTGGCAGTCATGCTGTGGCAGGCGTCCCACATATAAAGTAGAGGAAGATGGGCACGGATGTTAGCTCAGGGCCAGGCTTCCTCAGCAAAAAGAGGAGGACTTGCAGTAGTTAGCTGAGGGCTAATCTTCCTCAAAAAAAAAAAAAACCAAAACCACACACACACACAAAAAATGGACTCTTCCTATGTCTCATTTTATTAACCAGTGAACTAACATCACACACGAAAAATAAATAATTTATGCTAGGATATTATAATAGGATATGATATAACAGGATATAATAGGATATTATGATAGGATATTAATAAGTAGATAGCGAAAATGTAAGACATGATAAAATAGGGTTGGTGTTGATGAAAATTGGACATTAAACCAATGAAAACAAAAATAAATTTATAATTTATAGATTATAATAAATTTTAGTAAAGAAAAAAAGATGTTATTGAACAGAATAGTGGGAGATAATTATTACTGGAGAATTAGGAAAGGAATCTTTGGAAATAATATTTTAATGTACTTTTAAGTAAAATGCTCTTCTACATTTGTGGAATGAATAAATTACTCAAAGTTTGTGAGACAAAACGGATGAGTAGGAGTGAACCAGGCAAAAATGAAAGACAAAGGAAAAGAATGTAGCAAAGAAAACAACAGGAAAATAGTTTGGGGAGAGATGAATGCTTGGCTTGTTTGAATAAATAATAGGAAAAAACAGATGAACAATAGAAACAGACTCACGGATGATTCAACATGAGAATTATCAGACAGGCTTAAAAATAATTGTGGTTACTATCTTAAAAAATTAGATCATAAGATGGAGGATTTCAGCAAATGAATAGAACTTTTACTTGCATACAATATAGATGGGGTAATAAGCTATTAGAAATTCAGAAAGTCAGACTAGAAGAAAACATAAAATTTATATCCCTACTAGGAAAAGACATAAAAGGTAAACAACATACTGACTATATTATCAGATATTATATTTTAAATCATATTGTACATGTTTTATGTTTATTGTGAAACCTATATCCATAGTGAAAATATAAATTAGAATAATTATTTTGTCATGTACTTAGCACTATGTATCAAGATCCATGGAAACATTCCTAGCCTTTAACCTAGTGTTCCCATCCTAGGATGTCTTAAAATAATAGAATACGATATTCAAACATATGCATTGCAGTATTACTAGAAAGACAAGAAAAAAACAAGTCACAAAAATAAACTTTCAAAAAACTAGGATATTTTACTGAAACATGACATATTAATCAATAAAATGTTTACACCCACTAACATATGAAAATAATTTTTATGACAAAAGCAAAATGGTATTCCTTTTATTGATTACACATGTGAAAAAAATCTATACTTATGCCAAAAAAAGTGAAAGTGACACAGAAAAAGAATTGGCTTGACAAATTTATAACCGTTTTGATAATGTCTGTATGGTTATAATTCTCCTTCTACAATATTTATGAGTCAGAAGGCTAGAAGATGGTACCAGAAGAGTGTTGATGTTACTCTAAATTATGACAAATTAATTTCAGATATTGATCAAGTTTCTGACTGTATTATGGAAAGATCTGGAATACTTTGTAAATGATTTTAAACTAAGTATCTTTCCTGACTACATAAACACCTTCAATCAGACATCCATTACAGCAGGCTGATTGGTTAGAATAGCTATTTTACTCTCTAATCTCCTTTTTGTATCTGAACCATTCTGATAGATCTCTTTGCCCTTTACATCTCATGTTTATCTTCTATAATTAAGGGAATGGTAACACAAATTTGTATAGCACAGAGATTTTGAGGGTTAAATAAATAATGATAGCAACACATATAAAGACCTATAAAGTGCTTAGTTTTGCTATAATATTGCCAGTAGTATTCACGCTTATACAGCTGGTTAAAAAAAAAACACATTTACTAAGTAAGTACTTGTGTTTATTATTTTCTGCATATCGGCCTGACATATCTAGCAATTATATGTTGGTAACTGTCATCATATTGCTGTTGTGGACTGGTTTTGGCCTTCTACAAAGTGTGGTTTATAATGTCTTCCGTAAACAAAAGTTTTCTATTTGTTCGCTAGATAGTTACACTCATTGTCATCATATGATGTGCGTATATGTGCATGGTCCTCTGTGAAGTACTATACAGAACAGCTTTGACTGAAGTAGCCCAACCAGGCATACTGTATCAACTAATGCACGAAGTCTTGAATAACACCATCAGTCGAGATTCTTTCTCTTTCTGGTACATGTTTCCAAATGAAAGCAAAACAGTACATTAGAAAGAACAGGAATATTGAGGGAAACAGGAGACCGGTTTGCATTCTGATGCAGCTCTATGAGCTGTTTCTCCATTTCACAAATACTTATTGAGTATGCACCGTATCAGTGAGCAAAAAAGATCTGGCTCTGCAAAGCTGGATATAAAAAAATTAAGTTAACCAGTCCTTACTTAAGTTCCTTATCTGTAAAATGGAAATAACAGAATTATAACATATAATTTCTAAGGTTATTTTGAGTATTAAATGTATATATCTCCATATCAATATCCACATATTGAGAGGTATAGCAATATATTCATATTTAATTAATGCAAGTTCAGTGTTTTCTGTGATAGATTTAATAATATTCAAATGAGCCTGTCTGTATATATTTTTGCATTTTTCACTATCAACTTTTTTCTTAGAAGAGAAAATCGGCTTTTATTTCTTTCTTATTGACCATATTGCCAGGGCATTCCCAGGTCTGCTCAAGCCCTTCTGTCAAACAGGTCTTATTGCGTTGGCACTATCACCATGGCGACCTGTGTTATGGTCCAGGCTCAACTATAAACCAGCAACATGACCTCAGTAATAGCACAATTCAGCTAAACATTTTTTCCAATAATCTCTAAAAGACGGCATCAGATTGCTTTAGTGGCTAATAGTCCCTGATTAACTGCATATTACCTGAATTAGCAAACAAATAAGTTATAAATATTAGGAAAATCTAGGGCAATATTTGGTCATCTTGCTTCCTTATACACCCTGACAAAATTAGTCCGATCACAGACTATTCTACCAGCTACCAAAAATCCCTCCATCTATCTCATATACTATATAAAAGAAAAAAGAAAATGTTTGAGAACAACTTTTTAGTGAACTAGATGAGAAGACATTAACTGCCACCTGCCCAGATTAGAGTCTTTTATAAGGCAATTCACGACTTCACAAATTAGCCCTTTATTTCTAAACAAAGCCATTTAACTGAAAAAGAAATCTTAAATATATCCCAAATGTAAACTCTCCTTATTTGTAGCAATAGAGAGCCCAATTGAGGGGGAAAAAAACCCAAAACTTAAAAGTTGAGTTTATATAGAACAATTTGTAGCAACTTCAGAGTGAGTATTGCATTTATTTAGGGAAGTGAGATATATGTTTATGTTACAAGGTCCCCAAATGACCCTGAGTCACTCTCATCTAAAGCAGACAGCATGAAGTTAATGGTGACAATAGCAAATGAGAAAATGAACATCCTTCAGCAGCAGGAGCATAAGTAGCAAGGCAACACAAACTCAGATGCTTATCACTGCAGTCCCTACACCCTGTGGGTTTAATGATTAATATATAATTAGAATGTAAATAAGAACTATCTACATATTACCCTGAAACATAGGTCCCATCAGAAAATAATACTTCCGTACTAGAAACATTGATTTCTCATATGTATCTGTGTATGCACACAAACACGCACCCCCAACACACAAGTTTGATTGTTTTATGCATGTTTTTACTTGCCATAAATGACTGCCTGTAAAAATACGGTTGTATTTAAAACATTATATATTTTATTCAAACATATGCTAGAGGTACTGCTCCAATTTTCATTTTACAGATGAAGAAGCAGAGGTATGGGTTTTAAAATAAATTTCTCAAGACTGTACAGCCAATGACATGGTGAAGCCAGTATTAGAACTCATGGAGTCAGCCTCCGAAGCCATGACCTTAGCCTCAAGGCTGGCCCATTGGAAGCTGTTCTATAGGAGCTGCGCTGAGAGTGTGGAGGAACACGAGCAGGAGCTATAAATTCCCACAGTCCTGGAGGTAGATTCAGTCCTGACCAGGTTTGACTTTTATACTAAACAAAAGTTGTATGGAAAACGACTAATCCTCAGAGCTAAATTCGGCAACGAACACCCTCCGACTCAAGAAAGTATGGGAGCTCTAACCTCTGGGCATCTGCCCTCTAACAAGTTTGCATGGGCTGAGATCTCCTGCAAAGGAACAATGGAGAATGCTGAACTGCGTCCAAGACGGACTGACCACTTTTCTAGGTCCTGCAGAGGATGGTATCATTCCGCCAAAGACTGACCTGAATGACGGAAGTCACGCTGATGGCCGGCTGGTGGGCTGAGGCCTCCCAGACTTTTCATCACACATGTTTTTTAGCCAAGCAACTGACCTAAAGGCAAAATTAGCACATTTAGAAGAAACTTCTCTTTTTGTTCTCACGTTCTCTAACTCTCTCTCCAGCTACATATTTTACAAATACAACTCACTGACTCCAAGATGAACTAGGAAAGATAAGAATACGTTATGCCATGAAGAATCATTTACTAGCACTTACTTAGCATGGTATTAGAAATGAGAGTACGAATAAATATATACAATATATCCAATTTCAAGTTATTTTCTGTCTTCCTAAAGGAAATAATGCATATAGTTTAAAAGATCGGTAAAATAATACTAAAAAACTTACAATAGTTAAAGTAATTAAACAAGAAGGCCATTAGACTGGGGTGGCTCCGATGCCTTAGCAGCCTATGTAAGCAAACTGAAACCTAAGCCAGAATCAGTGCAGTTAAATCTAAGAATATAAAACTTAAGAACAACCAACTACAAACAGCCAACCTGGCTTTCCAAACTAAGGCCACCCTAAGCTAGAACCAATCAAATAATTTTCTTGGTTTGCTTCCACATCTTCTCTATAAAAACCTCTCCTGCCGGTGTAGTGTTCCTAACCACTTTGGGTTTGGTGTTGCCTGATCTGAATGCTGAAATAAACTCTTGAAAATTTTAACGTGCCTCAGTTTATCTTTTAACATAATGCATGAGTGTGATAAAACTAAGTACCGAAAGCGTACAATAAGAATGTGGCGAATTACTCCTGTGGCCCGTGACAGAGAACAAATTTATAAAGCTGGAAGCCATTTGTTTGTTAACAGAAGTGTCAGCAAAATTCTTGTAATTCAAGTCTTCTTAGGCTGTATAACAATTCAATGTTTACTTATATTACCCTTTCAGGTCAAATTGTCTGCGAGTTAATCATGATACAGAGAATATATCTGAGCTTTAATTTGCTAAATTCTTATCCAATATTAACTTTTAATTTGACTCCGAAGTTTCTGCATCACACTGCTTTTCACATCAATATAGACACATAATTATGTAACTAGATATTGCATAACGTATATATAGAGAGATGTATGTTATTATAACTCTACAAAAATGTGGATATTATTTAAATAATTAAGATCATGCATTGAGAGTTATTTTCAAAAACCCACATTGATGAGAAGAGGGCTGATTTAGGCAATATTTGGTGTTTTAATGCTACAGCTGTGTTTAGTGGATATGACCAATATGTAAAACTCATGCATAAATTTCAGGGTAAAAGAGTTCTTGAGTAATAAAGAAACACTGTATTCAATATTTTTATTTCATAACAAAATTGCATATTAACAGTATTCGCTTTTTCCTTTTTAATACCTGCACACACATGGAGTTATTTCTACTTGCATGATTTAGCAAACTGTTCCTTAGAGAAAATGTAGGAGCTAATGAAGCTTATTTTATTATTGATTTGTGACTTGTGGTTGATTGACTTGTTAACTTCATAAGTGACTTGACTGAATGTGACACTTAAACACTTTGTTGAAACAGCCTTCACCCATGCTGTCAAAGCTGGCAGAGCTGCTTTCTAAGGAAATGTTGGGTTCAGTGTTGATGGGTACCATAGTGCAGGCTTTCTCAAGGTCAGCACTACTGGTATTTTAGATCACATAATCCTTTTTCTGGGGGCCGTTCTGTGCATTGTAGGATATTCAGCAGCATCCCTGGTCTCTACCCATTAGATACCAGTCACAACTTCCCACTCCAGTTATGAAGATCTCAAATGTCGTCAGATATTACCAAATGTCTCTTGGGACCAAAATACACTCTCTCCCACACTGAGAACCACTTCTCAAGTAGAGGAGGGTGAAGAAAATTCAGAGACCACAAATCAAGGGCAGGATCTAAGCACAGGAATTTTTCCAGAAAGGTCTTAAGTACAAAAAATAACATTTAGTATAAACCAAATAGAAGAATTAAAGTCAATATGTTTCATTATGTTAAAATTATTAAAGACAAAATGATTACTAATGTACATATTTTTAAAAGTCAATCAGCTTCAAGACCACAATAATTTACTTATTCACATGCTATAAGACCATCTGAATTTCCAAATTAAGAAAATGTAATATGTGAAGGCACTGCTATTCTTGACAGGTTCTTTTGGTCTCAAAATATTAGGCTCTGAAAGTCCATTCTTCAGAATTTTCAAAATGGAAGATTGGAATAATTTTGTTTCTAAAAAAGATGGACATTTTCAGAATGAGGTGTTTCTCACATCATCTTACTGATGATACCATTCTCCAACTACTAATCAATTTAAACTAAAGGCTAATAGAGAGAAAATGTATCTTAAATAAGAAAGACACTATTGGCTATCTCAAAACATATTTGAATATTATTTAAAAGATGAGTGGACACTAAATTAGCTGTTAGAATAGTCTAATCACCCTTTATTTTTGAAACTCAGAAAACACAATTATGACAAAGAAATTAGAAACATAGTTTTATTAATACAAATTTTAATTAACATTATCCTTAAATAAAATGATATTAAAGAAGAGTTACATTTACTAGCACCAGCTCCAATTCTTTCTTTAGACAGTAAAAATTATCATTTATATTAAAAGATCAGCCTAAAGTTAGTTAATTGTGGCTAGAGTGCCATAAAAATAATTCAAACTTGGCAATTTTTAATAAATTTAAACTATAATTTGTGTCAGCCTCAGAACAATTCAACAGACTAAGAAGTCACTGGTCCTTATTCTTAATGTTATTAAGAAGGAAACACATGAGATATGCGATATTCAATTACTACGTTAACATGTGCTCGTTTGTACTTTGGAATGAAAATTAAACTTCTGGCGTTCCTGCAAGACAAGATGCGTCAATTCTTAAATCAAGACAAGATTTACTAAACACGTCTGTAACGTATCATAGACCCTCGTACAAGCTTCAGGCTGTTTTCCTGTGGTGATGTCTTAATTTCTATAAATAGAATGGCTTGGAAAAACAATAGAATATTACAACCACATCAAGCAATTCAAGGGATTTCACAGACAAAATATCCACACACTGCCAGTGAGTTTTCTGTTGGGGGGCACTGACGAGTGTCTTATGGCACCATTTCTTCACTAAGCGACACTAACCCGAGTCTGCCTGGAGAGAAATATTCAAATTCAGATTGGCAGGTGGGAAAATAATACATTATGTTGGCTACATTTCTACAGGAATACATTGCTTGCTAAAACTTTTTTATTCTCAGTGGCTTTTAAGTTCTTGAAGGCTTTCTGCTAAGCTTTCACGTAAAAGTAAAAGTAAGTTAAAGAGCAGCTAACTCTTGAAAAATGGGAAACTCCCATGTGCCTGACTGGGGCTCTTGTTGAGGCTGTATCGGGCACTTCATTGTGAAAGTTATGGCTGCAGTTACGGCTCTAATGGATGCATATAATGTTTCTTTCACTAATTTTAGTTTTAGACTGTACTTCTGCTGAAAATTATTCTTTGTTTTGGGAAGATCTGTGTCCAAGTGGTTAACCAGAGGGCATCTAATCCAGAGCCTAGAGGAGAGGAGGAAGGATTATCTTGATTTCATATTGGCAGACAAAGCCTACAGGGAAAAAGGCTGAGAGAGGCAAAGACCAACCTGGGTCATTTTGCGGAGGTTCCCCAAGTTCTGTTTCAGACTAGGTAACCCAGTGCTTGGACCTGGCTTTGGGACGGATAGTTACATTCTGACAGCTTGTCCTGAAGGTCTTAGGCTCGAGGCCATCAACCTCCTAATGGAAGTGACATCATGCAGGTACTGGAATGAAAAGAAAAAGGCTCTAGGGAGTAGGTGGCTGGATGCCTTGAGGGAACAACTGCAAGTGAGTGAGTTCTGTCACTCTCCGTTGCTGAGGTGATCTAGTCTTTGTATGGCGGTGGCTCCATGGAATAAGAGGAGAACAGAGATGACGGTACAGTAACCACATCTGGGGACAATGCCCTTTTGTTTTTCACAAGCCTTCAATATATTTTGCCTAAGCTGGAAATTAGTTTCTGCTATCACTGTTAAGAATTAGGGCAAGGTCTGTGCACATGTTTTGTATAAACGTGTGGTGGTGGCAAGAGACCACCAAGACAGATTTATTAATTTGTGCAATATTGGGGGAACATAGGCGCATTCTATCAAATTTTTAAATAATGCCTGGGGAGAAGAACCTGGTTTGAAAAAAAAAGAAAAAAAGTAAGAGAATGAAAAAAACACAGAGAGAAGGCGGGAGAGGGAGAAAGAAGAAAGATTCAAAATTTACAAAATTCGGAGAGATTATGAATTTGAGAAAAATAGCAAATCCTGTCATGTACTTCCTGGGTTCCACATGTAAAAGGAACCCCTGGAATTAAATGTTCTATGCTACACCTCTCCTTTTAACCACAGCTGCCAGAGCAAAGTTCCCACTTACTAGAATATAATCCTACGTTTAAAAGCTCATTTACCAAATTTTGTCAACATCGTAGTATATTAAACACCTTACCCCACGCTGATTATCAGTTTTCTTTGTATCCTGTATTAACATTGCTTCTTCTATTTTTACAGCATTTAGTTTTTCATTTCAAGTAATACATAATAGGTATAACCTGAAAATTTAAAAAAATATATATTTCGTATAGTACTCTCCCCTAGAGATAACCACTATTAATGTCTTCAGTAGAAACTTAAAATAATATTATGATTAAACATATGCAGATACACATGCCTATATAATTTACAAAAATCCTAAATTGTAAGTCTTTTTGGAAGGCATATTTTTACTAAGAAATAAGTATATTTATGTCAACAGATATTTTTCTGCAGTGTTTCTTTAACAGAATATACCAAGATCTATTTAAATAATTCTATGTTTTTAAATTTTTAAGTGAGTTTCAGGAAAGCATCCTGCTTCTCCATAGTTCTATTTTTCATTTTATTTTTTATTTTAATAATCAAAATAGACAATAACATGTTGTCTATTTTGTATATAATTGTTTAATTTGTATACAATTACTTTTGTATACAATTGTATAAATAAGTAAAAAAATATATTTTTC